AGAGGCTGTATTATAACTTAAAGGCTCTCTTGTCACTCTGTAAACACTACCTTGGGCAGCATGTATGTGAAACTGTCTAAATATGCTGTTAATAATCTCTCTCCCTCATTGCTTTATAGCAAACACTTTTTTTTTTTGTTTCCCCTAGGGTAGTCTACAATGAAGTCGTACAGACTGCTAAATATTACATGAGAGATGTGACTGCTGTTGAATCTGCATGGCTCTTGGAACTGGCGCCTCATTTTTACCAGCAAGGAACGGTACGGAATCGGCATAAAGCCCAAACGGTACCATTGCTGTGTTAGCAGCTCTTGTATCTGAACTTTTTAAGTGTTTATGTTTTGTTGTTATCTGTTTAATGGTACAAAAATGTATTTGGTTTAGTTCATTGTAGTCATTTTAATATAAAGAAAAAGGATAATAAATTGATATATGAAAGCTTTTTCCCTATTGTCCAACCAACAGATGTGATCTCAAAGTTACAAAATAGTGTATCACTCTGGTAAATGAAGCCTTCAACCATTTAATGCTTGAATATAGGCACTTGGTGGCAGTTCTCTGAGCAGCACCATAGCTAGGCAGTGGTCGTACTTGCACAATAATTTTAGAGGAGTCTTTGCATGCTTTGCAAATGTTTGTGCAAATCCTGAGCTCTTTTTTGAGCATTAATTATGCTTACCGTGAAGAGAAAATCAACTCTGATCTGTTCAAACTTAAAATGGCAAAGAACAGCTGCTATTTGTGCAAACCTTTATTGCAAATTCTGTTGTGTGTGATATACATACCTTGTCTTTACAAGTATCTTTTAGTAGTCATCACCATCCTATATCAACTCAGTCTCATGTGAATCCATCAATCTGGACTGACTCGCTGGTCATTCCGAGAACTGGATTGGTATTAAATATTTATCTAAATGCTAGTTATCCTGGAGCTGTTGATACCACATTGAATGTAAATACCGTACAGGCAAGGTTACCAAATTGATCTTGCATCTGAATTTCCCATGGGAGATTAATAACTACTGAGCTTTATATTCTAAATTAGTAAAGTATTTCCAAAATACTGAGTGAAAAAACACACTTGCGTATCAGACCTATGCAAAACAAGAGATCTGTTCATGTATACGAGCAGCCATGTTGCAAAAATTACTGTTTCTGATTCGTACATCTGCTACACTATTTGACTTTTCTGAGAATCTGATGTTAGTTTTCTTTCACTTCCTGGATTTTTGGAAAAAAGAAAAACACTGTGGTGCATGGAGCATCTTAGGCCATACCTTTGTGGTTACAGTGTACAATGGCATTGGCCTCTGTTCATGTAATTGACTTGAGAGTGTTGGGTTGGGTTTTTTTATGTTGAGCTTAGATAATTCATCTCAGTTATCCAGACACTCACCATCTATAAATGCACTTATTAAGTATCTGAATATTTTCTGCCTTTTTTTCCATAGCATGTTTGACAAAGGCAGTAATGACCCCTGCGAGTTAGTCCTTTGAGTCTTTAGCTGCTGTTAGACATTCTGCAAGCATGGTGTAAAAACGAGATGAGCCAGTGTTGCAGTTGTATCAAATCTGTTCCTGGAATAATTAGTCCTTTTGACTCATGTATTTACATGTTGTACCATCCGATACACAACATAACATCCCATTACGATATGACTTCTCCACGGGCTAAAGTTTGGGGTGAGGTTTTCCTTTAGGTAGGTGGTGTTGGGAAATGTGACTCAATGTCTTGTTCAGGCAAAACTTGAATTGCTTTTTGTAAGTGAAGATGACTTGTCTTGAATTGTGCTACCTACCTGACTGAGAGAACGTGTCTTTCAAGGTAGTACTACTACTGTTGTACATATTCTATGAAATTACATTAGAACCTAATTTTTACCATTGCCGTCCTTTTGATTTGATGGAGGTGAACTCAGTTTGCAGTATGACCTAAGCTTTGCTTTCATCCTAAAATAAATGGAAGCTCTGGAGGATAGTGCTGGTTTTGAGGAAAATTATCTTTTCCAGTTTGGTCAGTTATCCTTATCAGCCAAAAGGCTTGGGTGTCTTTATGAAATGTTTTAAAATTAGAAATATTCCTGTTTTGTAAAGCTTTGAATTATACATGTAAATTTTGAATAAGCAAGCCATTGCAAAACACAGAAATTTGTGCTAACTTACAGACATTCAGACCCTTTTTCTACTGAAGGATATATCTTCGTGCATATTAAGATATTCCTGAAATAAGAGAATTTTTTATTCCTGTATCAAGTTAAAACCAAATTACAACTGAATAGGATTCTGTGTTAAAAGATGTTCTTCTACAGCTTGATCATGATCTCAGTCAGTTATGTATCATTCCAAATTTTGCAGGACTTCACGTTTCCATTCCACGTTTTTGTAGGCCTTTAAGAGCATAGGGGTTCAAAGGTCCAATGCAACTACATGTGCAGTGTTAATACATCGGTCAAAATCTTGTACTTGATGTACGTACTCCTAGTGTTTGTGCAGACGTATTGTTGGGAGCACATGTGTCTTTCTGTGCATTTTTACATGGTGACAACTTGCTTCCAGTGGGAAATTGTTCCTATGCTTGCAGTTAGTACAGAAGTACTAGAAGATGATATTTTATACCAAGCCAGAATATCGCTTTGGGATATGTGTGTTTTTTTCGATTTCATAGGTTTATTTTAGCTATGTCAGTTACAGGCAGAGCTTGGGAAGGGCGGTCTTTGATATTTGTATAAGAATTTGTTTAATTTGGGATTAAAGACTGAAAGCATTCTAGTTGAACCTTTTTCTAATTGTGGTGTATGTTCTAAGCAGTTTTTCTTTTCTTTTCTTTTCTTGCAGCATCTTTCCTTGAAAGCAAAAAGGGTTAAAGTAGATGACCACTGATTTGAGATGACATCAGACACAGAACCTACCAGTGATTTCAAGCTGGCTACAGTCCATTCAGCAGCCAGTTCATTAGCAATTTGATCTTACATCAACTTAAATGTTTAAATGCCTGCCAGGGGTTTATGCATGACCAGTACATTGTAAACCTATGTAGAGCTTGCATTGTGGACATTTTATTCTTTGCCTACTTGACAACTGTTGTTAATCTGAGCATGTTGCTCCTTTTAAATAGGTAGAAAAACAATTTAAAAAGTAAGAGGACATACAGGACCACAAAAAACTGAAACCTTCAAGAAGGAAACTGATTTCCTGGAGTGGTATGGCTGCCTTATGAGAGTGGGGAATAGGGTACCCTGCCTCCTATTACCTGGAGCACTGTGACTACTACCGGCCAAACTGAGACTGACTCCTGACAGCAGGAGCTCAGGGCGATGAACTAGCACTTGAAATGCAAGGGGCTGCTGTGGAGACATCGATTTCGTGTTGGACCATCCCAAACTGGTGCAGCTTGTGCTCCCAAGCAGTAAAAGTCTCCTGCCTGATGTTGAGCTGCCCCTGGATCCCTATGCTGTAACAGTCCTTCTGTAGGTAACATTGTATTAAAACATCTTGTTTTTGTATATGAGAGTTACTGTTTGGGGAGGGGGAGGAAGAGTAGCTCAGTATTTTTAAGAAGGATTAATTTTTTGCTCAGTCGGGGGACTATATGCTTATGTTTGCAAACAATCAAATTCACAGATGGGGCGCTTTTTTTTTTTTTTCCCCCCTCCCTCTGACAAGAGAAAAGATGTTAACCTCTCACTGCTTGGAAATACCACAAAATTTCAGGATGGGGTTTTTTTTTTTTTTTTTTTTTTTTTTTTATCCCTGACAAGAGAAAAGATGTTAGCCTCTCACTGCTTGGAAATACCAGAAAATTTCAGCAGGGGTTTATCACAGAACATTTTAGCCTATGTCATTCAGCAAAGAAAATATTCTGTACTTTCCTGTAAGGAACACAGTCCTATATATTTCTTTTATTAAGAATCTGTTCTTTGCTGCTTGGGACTCTTTTTCATGTGTTACTGAAGAGAAGGATGCTCTGAACAGTTGCTGCTTTAATCAGGACTCCATGGCTACTTTTCAGTAAGGAACTGTACCTTTTTGTGCTTTGACAAGATAGCTTGGATACGTTTATTTATTTTTTCCAACCCTATTGATATTTATTTTAGAAACACATTGTTTGAACATTTTATTTTTGTAAGGCAGCTAATTTGATGAATGTGTTTTTTGGCATGTTAACTAAAATTTTATTTTCTTTTTTAAAAAAAAGAAAAGGGATGTAAATAGGCAAAAATTTCTACATAGAACAAATGCCTTTGTCATCACAGGACTGCCTTGAAAACTTTCTTGAGAGCTTCTTTACCTTCTCCCTTCCAAACACCTGCAGAGAGAACATGCTGTGTCATGTGCAGTGTGTGGTGTATTCAGTGTCTACGTACTGACTGCCAGCACAAAAAGAGGTACCAGTCTCCATGTATGGCACCAGCAGCATGACAAACCCTGTCACCTTCTTTGTTTTCCCTGTGAACCTCACCTTTGTATTACTCTCTCTCTCTCTCTTAGAGTGGAAGCTCTTTGGGGCAGGGACTGTCTCCTAGCCACAGCTGAGAGCAGTGTTGGCACTCACTAAAAAGATTCAATTTGCAGGTTTTTTTTTCTCTTAAAGAATTGGAGAAAGAAGTGAATATGAAGTCTTGTAAAATGTCTGTGTCTCTCTGTCCTCTGGAAGTATTCTTAAGAAAAATAAAATCATTGAATTGAGGAAGCTTGAGAATGCATCACTTCAGCCTGAGTAGTGGGTGATTTCCCAACTTACTGGGTGGTTGCACTGTGCTGATCTGAATCATGATGGGCTGTCAGTGGATGGCCACTTCATTTGCCAGTTCTGAGAATTTCGGGTGGTTCTGGAGAACTCTCTTTTCCAGATGTTCTTTTGCCTGGCTGTACAGCTGCAAAATTTTCACTTGGAATGGTTGTGATTTCTGCTGAGTTCAGAACCCAGGGATGTACAAGCTTTGTAACATGCTGCAAGCAATTGTACTTTTATAAAAATGAGTGCAATAGGTCTTTGTAAACAAAAATAGAAATTGAGACTTGTCCTTTTAGCAGTTTTACAAACTGTTGAGGTATTGCCAGAGGTGCAGACACAGAACAGGCAGACTTTATGCTAGAGATGCAGGCTAAGAATAAGTGTTTTTAGTATCCAGATTAAGGTTACCTTTAGAGAGAGAGCACTGCTTGCATTTGAAATGTGGACCCTTTGAAGGTGTTTGAAGACAGAGACCCAAAACTTAAAAGACTTAAAAATCTCTCCTTTGTAGAATTCTGACCTACAGCTCTCTGCTAGATTTGTACCTAGCATTATGCTTGAAATAACTTTGAAGGAAATGGGTAACTGGGCCTTGTTGTTGGCTCTTTGCTGCATAAACGGTCTGTGTGTGATTATGGAGCAGATTGGAGTCATTGAAGGTGGTTGGCAGGAGTTTATGAAACAGTTTAAGGATTTTAAACCTGGCTTTTAGAGAATGGGGTTAAAATGTTAGGCTCTTGAATCAAAATGCTGCTTGAAATAGAAGTCATGCCACCACTGGCAAGGAGACAGACTTTTTTTAAAAAGTATATTTACAGTCCGTTAATGTCAAATTACTATGGGGGTAAAAAAAGAAGCTATATTCCTGAAGTCCATCAGAAAGTGATCTCAGTGTTTCTACTCATGACTTTAGTTATTGTCAGTTATAAAATAAGATGAAGCTAAATTGGAATAAAAATGCAACCAAAACAATATTAAATGAAATACATTTCTCATCTTGTAGATTAAAATTAATTCTGATAAACTGATGGGAAAAGTTACAACTCTTCCTGGTTAATCTGAAGAAAGAGACAAGCAATTAAAAGACTGAAATGAAAAAGGAGAAATAAATAAGGGAGAGGTAACTGTCATTTCTTCTCAGTACTTTATGATAAAAATGCCTGTATAACAGGATATATAATTGAGGCAGGCTCACAGCAATGTTCTCTAAAGGTGCATCAAGGTAATGTGATATAACTTATTTTTAAGCTGAGTTCATTTTATACATGTGTTACAATAAGCACATTACAGACAGGCATTGGAAAAAAGTGGTGAGTCAGGTAGTACGCGTCTTTAAACAAAAAAAAAGTAGTTTACCACAGTCAGATACCTGTGTGACTCATTCCAGATCTGGTGGTTCAGCTCTTTTCTGGCTCATGGGCAAGTGCAAACAGTGAATAAGTTTCCTGTTCCAGCAAATGGAAAAACAAGACGGAGATGCTAAGATGGGGAGAGGGTTGGAGAAAAAGAGGGATGCCAGGGCTGTAAGACACTAGAAATGTTTCGGTAATTCCAGCAGTATTCTGCAAAGACATTTCTGATTACAAGCGAGGGCTGGGCTTTGCTGATTTTGGTGGGAGCCTTGGTTGTAAGGAAGGAGGGAGGGGTATCTGCAGGGAAGGTGCAAATAAGTGCAGGGTTTCTTCATGGTCAGTTGATGTGGTGAGTCATGGCAGTGCATTGCTTGTTTACTCCTCTGATTGCTGCTGAGCAGGGAGTTACTGAGCTGCTGGCTTGGCTGGTGGGAAACTAAACTTCCAGAAACTGATTGGGAATTGCCAGTACTGCTGTGCTTGTCCCCTTCTTGTGACTTTTGTGACAAACCCCCCGAGCAGCAGTCCTGGAGTTGAGGACTGGACTGCTTGGTGCTGGGGCAGGCAGCTGCTGATGCAGGAGCACAAACACGATGAGTGCAGTGCGGTGCAGGTTGTGTGAGACAGGGCTCAGCCATTCGTTTTACCAGGCTGGAGGGGAAAACCGCCTAGCCAAAACACCGCCTTCACATTTGAAAGGCGATTCTGTTCTGAAATGGATTTGTCAAAATCATTCCTTATGTTTCAACTGCTTTCTTTACCAAGGAGAATTGACTGTATCTGTTTTTCCAACTAGCCCTTCGGAACTCCCTCGTTTGGGAGCATCAGTGTGCATCGGTAACTGTTGTCATCCCATCATTCTGGTAAGTGTCACTTACTGGACTTGGTCATCACTTTTGAGCAATTCCATTGAAGGCAACTTGGAACCAGTGTTTCTTACTGTAGTTTCATAACTTTATATTATTCATTATCAAGTGGCTGTACTATCAACAACTGGCAAAGAAAGTCAGCAATACAACTTGACATTTAGAGTGAATTAGAATAAACAATTTGCAAGATGAATGTAAGTAGCATAAAGAAACACTGTCCTTATATCCAGTTTCTGATCTGTTCTCAGACTTGCAGAGCTTTTGTCCTTGTGAGCTTGTACGGGGTTTTTCTTCTGTCAATTAATAACTTTATCCTTCTCTCTAAGCTTTCTCAGGGATGTGCACTTTTGGCTTAAAACCGACTGCATTTTGAGAAAGGTGCCAGTAGATGGCAGGCGTTGGTTTCGAGTAGTGGTATCTTGGGGCACAAATAATTGGCCAATTCTTAAAGGTTTTTCTTATTCTTCAGTTTTCACATTAAAATAGTTTAGTTATGAGTAGGATGAGAAAGGATAAAGGAAAAAGCTATCAGTGGCTGTGGGATAAAGTCAGTATTTGAAGTGCAGAGATTAGTGATAAAGCCCAGAATGCTGGGTGCCCCAGTGGTTTAAAAACAAACAATATGCCTCCCAAAGCCAAAATCCCCAAGCAATAAATTCTATAGCAGTTCTTTCAATTACACACTGAGTTGTAAAAATGGCACCTTTACTGGAAACCGTAACTGGAGGTACGGCAGTGTGCTGAGTGGGAGGGTGTTAATACTTCCAAGGAGGCTGACAGCATTTATTACTGGCTTTTATACTTAGCTTATCCAAGTGACCAACCGCTGCTGAATTTAAAAGATGGGTTTTTTCACTTTTTTTGTACTACTTTCAGCTACAGCTCTCAGTTTTTCAATAAACTAATTTTGTAGCCACTTTGGCTAGTAGAAATATTTTCGTAATAGGAAAATGAATAGTAGAATCCTTCAAGTTCAAAATTCCTGCACGTGGGCTTTGTACATCTACAGAGTTCCTCCTGTGGAATCAAAGCCTAAGGCTGGAGCAACGGGCACCATTAACAAAAGATATTCCCTGGAGGTTTACTGCCGTGTCAGTCTAAGGCTGCAAGTTCTCTTGGT